AGAGGGGGCTGCTGGCTGGGCCACTGAGGATGGACTTGTGCTTTCAAACAACCACAAGCGTACCCCGAAAGGAAGACTTGTTTTGCAGTGACCACGCAGTCGACTCCACCGCCCTGGGTTGCTCTGCTGTAACTTCTGGGTTGCCACGAAGCACCAGCCCAAACTCTGCTCAGCCAGCCAAGGCCACAGCCACTGTGGGCCCCTGGGGCACACTCTGCAGGGAGGCAGAAGCAGCAAGCACCTTGCAGTGGAGCTGGATATCCTGAGCACAGAGCCTCCCTGAGCGAAGCTCAGACCCAAATGGCAAATTTCAAGTCCTCAGTGACCCCCCTGATTTACTAAGCCACAGCCAACCCTCACCCCCAGCCCAGGGCAGGTGACTGCACAGACAGGAAATGTCCTCCCGAAAACTGCCTGGCAGGGAGGTAACTGTGCACAGCTCTAAACTTGGGGGCAGGTGAAAGCCCAAAGGGCACAGAGAGGAAGGTGACTGCTCCAGCCTAAATGGCCAGAAGGCTCTGGGAACCAAAGGCCTCCAAAGTACCTGAAACATGACAAACAACATCTTTTTTGACTCCTGCCTTCTAGTGCTTCTTAATGTTAAATCTGCCACCATTTTCCAGGCCACAAAAAAAGAAGAGATAGAGAAGGGTTCTGGCACCTACCCCTGGGCCAGCCCCCAGGCAGGACACCAGACATGAGCTTGGCAGGGCGGTGGCCAGGAGAGGGTGGGACCTGCCGGAGCAGTCCACCTGCCACCTGTCCTCATCCAGGGGCAGCCCAGGGTCCTGCCTGGGCTGCCAACCAGCCTTTTCTCTCCCCTGCTGCTTCCACAGAGCACCAGCAGAGCGGGAGTCTCGCAGACCTGGTCACAGAAGCACGTCAGCCCAGGGAGGCTCTTCCCACCTGTGTGGGCCCGGGGGGGCTGACGCTGCTGGGAGTGCTCCTCCTCCAGGGACGCAGGACAGGGCTTGGCTTTGGTGAGCTGAGTCCTTCCCCCTAGGTCCAGGCACCCCTGCACTTGCCTTGCCCTGGGTGGAAATCAAAGCAGCATCAGGAAGCAGCAAGGAAGGCAAGGAGCATCATGGACACGGGTGCAGGCACACAAGAGCGGCAATGCTCATGCAACATGGCGCTGGGGCCGGGACCTGCGTGGAGGGGGCCTTTCCTGGGACCAGATACATTCGCTCTGCCTTTGAACCATGTGAGTGACCTGGACCAGGTAGAATCCCAGAGCCGGGAGCTGCAGAGCTCCTTATTTTACATGGGCAGAAGTTGAAGCTCTGGGTGGGAGGTGACAGCCGGGATTCCCAGAGGGGATGGAGGCTGGTGAGGGGCTGCCCTGCAGGCAGGCAGACGTGTGGGAATCCACACAGACCCACACCTAGCACAGACACTCAGGAGCCCATGACGCCCCACTCCATCAGTCACACTGGACTCACCCATGTGCTGACTCTCTCCTTCCCAGTCCAGACACCTTCAAGGAGACAAAGGCAGGTCCTTCCCTCCCCCGACACTGCTGCTTCCCCCAGCCTTGGTCTGCGCAGCCCATCTGCTGGTCCCACGTCCCCTCTGAGAGGCTCTCTCGAGAGCTGGCCAGGCCCCGATGACATCTGTGCCCCAGAGACGGCTGTAGCGCTTTCTCTTCCTCTCCCGGGGTTTCTGGACCGCAGATGCAAGCACGGGGAGACTGACTTGGTCTGTGCACAAGCTGCTCTTGGAAAGCATTCAAATTCCCCCCACTTTTAGAACAAAATCAGGCTGTAGTCCCCAGTTGCTTTCTGCTCCGAGTTTGAATGAAATCGCAAACAGGATAAAAGACTTGTTAAATTTGACTCACACTCCAATGCCACCCACAGGGCGGTCAGTACTCTCTGGAGCACTGACAGGGAGGCTCCACGACGCTGTCAGGAGAGAGGGAGATCACTGGCCTGGGTCTGATGGCGTGGACTCCGCTGTCCTCTGCCCCCAGCGATCACATGCAGGGCAGCACCATGGGTGACAGCTCTGCTCAAGCCCACTTCCCAAGGTGAGATGACCACCTCTCCAGAGGACCCAGCCCTGCTGCATGGGAAGTCAAGCGACTGGGCATCAGCAGACATGCCGGCAGGCCAGGATTGGGGTCTCCTTTAGGACAGAAGTCTGGCTTCAAGCAGCAGTGACCAGGCCTTCTTGGTGTTTTAGCAGGCCCAGCACCAGCCCCCTGAGGTCCCAGCAGGCCTGCCCTATGCTCCCCGAGCAGGGAGGCCAAACCGTACTCTCTAGCAGAAAGACAGTTCAAATGCTCTCCACTGGCAGTGCAAGATTCTCCCCTAACAAAATGGAAAATTCCATTTTTTTTTTAGGAGGAACAGTAGGGGAGGGGCTGCCTTCACTCACAGCCTGCTCTCCCAGGTGGGGGCTGCAGATTGCCGCTAAGTGACCACCTAGAAAACAGACAGACTGGGCCGGCTGGAGCCTTTTCTCCACAGAGCTGCTCTAACCACATCAGAGCAGCAAGGCCTGTCTGCCTGCACATGGGGGGGCCCTCCACTGTCATTTCCAGAAAGTGAGACACATCCTTTCCAGTCACCTACTTTTAAATCTGAGATGTCCCAGGGCTGGTGGAGTGGCATGGGCACACATGGCCCCTGCTGGTTCCATGCAGCTCCAGAGGAAACACAGAAGTTCCTCTGTTTCAGTAAACAGAGAGCACACTGAGGACATTGGGGCCACGGAAGGAACTGTCACCCCTGGGTGCGGCCTGGGCTCAAGATGCAGGGAGATGCCTACTTCCTGCATCACTCGGACACATTTGGTTTCAGGAGGAGCTAATCAGGGGAAACAAAGAAAGGGGATTTTTTTTTTTCATGCCAGGTTGAATCAATACATCCCCCCCCCCAATTTGTTTCTCCTAGTCACTAAAAAAAAGTATCAAAATATTTGCTTTTGTCCAAAGATAGGAAATACTGTAAAATGTCTTCAAAATAATAATGGGTTGTCATTTTTCATTAACTCCTTTTCTAAATAAAACTACAACTTGTTAACACTTTAGTGCCACTTAACGGCAGGCATCAGGGCAACCAGCACGCGGGCATTATCACAGCACAGGTTAGCAAAGCAGAGTGAGGCGTCTCTGGCGAAATCCACACACGTAACGGGACCATCCTGCCCAGCGACTGGAACCGCCTGGGAGTCAACCAGAGCAGTCACTTCTGGATTTTTTGTCTTAACCCAAGAGATGGCTGCACTTTCTGGTTATTTATAGCTACTCGCGTAGCCAGCATATAAATTCACACTGTAAATGTGTTTTCTTTTCCTTTGGGGGAATTTTAAGGATAGAAAGGACTCAGGTGGGGTCAATCTCTAGTATCTCTCTCGCACTCAAGAGTGGGATCACTGAGAATCTTGCATAACTCATCCTGGACCTTTGCACCCAAGACTAGAAGGGAACCCTCTGAGGCCCTAGAGGAGAAAGCCCAGCGCAGCCTCAAAGAGGGGTGCCCAGGGGGGCTGCAGGGCTTTTCAGAGAAGCCCTCAGAGCCCAGACAGGTAGAATCCTAGGTGCTCCTCCTGCCCTCCCAGCCATGTACACAGGCCCACACGGGAGTCCAGGCAGGAACATCCAGGTGCCGCCTGGAAGCCTGGTATAGGAGTGAGCTCCTTTTTTACATGGAGAGAAAGTCCTTTTGCCCACAGACTCTATGGACCAAAATACTGAGCCTGGGGGTGGGAGGCTAGACTTCCATGCCCCTCCACTCAGGCCTTCTGGAGGGGCCAGTGCCCTTCTACAGAGCCAGGCCGGGAGGGGGCTGGCCTTGCTCCCTGGGCTCTGAACTGCTGGGTTGTGGGGAGTTGAAATCTCACAAAAGCACTTTTGTGTGGCTTCATTTCCCGTTACAATCACACTGCCAAAAACTACAACAACACCACGGCGAATGCGTGTAAAAGCCGATACAGACTTGATAACTAAGCCTAGAGCACATGTTGCCCACTCGGAGTCCACCATTTGGAGGGGACTTTGCCTAGCTGGCAGACTGGCCCAGTCCTCTGAGGGAGCCACCCCACAAAGCCTCCTGGCCTCTTTCAAGCCCTAGTGGCATCCTCCCCAGCTCCTTAGGAGGCCTCCTGGCAGGTCAAGGAAAAGCCACAGTTGCCCCCTCCCCTGACTCCCAGCTTTTGGTGCCCCCAAGCGCAGCAACCACCTGGGGCTGCCCGGTTCAGGAGGTCAGAACCTGGTGGATGCCACCCACCCCCAACTTCAGGTCAGACCAGACTCCGGGTTCCCAACCTCTTCCCCATGTCACCCCATCTTCCAAATTACATTTATTCTTTCTGCTTTCAAGTTCACTCCCAATTGGACCTGATGGAAAGAGGAGGAGCGGCTCTCCCTCCCGGTGCATTCTTTCCAACAAACATTCCCTTTCGAAATTGAGGAGAGGCAGTTAGACCTTAGCCGTTAAATGAAAAAGAGAAGGCCTTTTGCAGGGGCTCCTTCCCAGAGACAATGGCCCAGTCTTCACATAAACTTTCAGTGAAGGCCTGACACCCTCAGCGGGTCCCAGAGGGCAACCCCGGGGCTGCCCCACACTCAGCAGAAACAAAAAGGGGTAAGAGAAAACCGACTCCAGTGCCCCTCCAGCTCACCCACTCTGGAGCCCCCAACCCCAGCCTGTTTACCCGACTTAGCGCCCGTCACTGTAACGCTGACACGCCACCTCCTCCCCAAAAGACAGCAGGGGCCGCCGGTGATGCGCTTCCAAAGTACACGTGGCTGTGACTTGCGGTGGCCTCGGGTCATCTCTTCCCAGGGCTGCCACGCGCTGTCCACGGTGCACGTGTGCACGGCTGAATGAGTGTGCGGGTGTGAGTGCTGCTGTGAGTGTGAGCGCGCGCCCCCTCTCCTCGCACAGCGCAGGGCCGGGTCCGCTCGTGCTCCGTGACACGCCCCGCCCGCGGCAGCTCCTCGCCGGGGTCCTGGGCGGCGCGGCTGCCGCTTCCAGGCTGGCCGGGCCGGCGTGCTACCTGCAGCCACAGGCCTCCACCACCATGTCCTCGTACTGCTTGTAGACCACGTTGTTGGCGGCGTCGATGTAGAGGATGCTGATGGGGCTGAGGCGCGCGGGCACGCAGCAGGAGGCGGGCGCCGCGTCGGGCGCCATGGAGTTGAGCAGCGTCTGGATGATGGCGTGGTTGGTGGGCTCGAGGTGCGAGCGCAGCGGGAAGTCGCAGACGCCCTCGCAGTGGTACGCCTCGTAGTCCAGCGGCGCGATGATCCAGTCGTCCCAGCCCAGCTCCTTGAAGTCCACGTGCAGCGGCTTGCGGCTGCAGCGACTGCGGCCCCTGCGCGCGTGGCCCCGGCCCGCGCCCCCGCCGCTGCCCGGCGCAGCCCGCGCCCCGGCCAGAGCCGTCCGCCGCCGCCGGCGGCCGCCGAGGCCCGCGGCCGGCGACCCGATGACGGGTCCCGGGTCCGGCGGCGGCTCGGCGGCCAGGGCGGCCCGCAGCGCGCGGGCCTGGGCGCGGATCTCCCTGAAGAGGCTCTCCTTCCTCTGCGTGCGCGAGGACACGACCAGCAGCGCGCGCTCCTCCGCCGCCTCGCCGCCCCCGGCCCCCGAGCCGAAGCCCAGCGGCCTCAGCGCCAGCGGGCTCCGCGCGGGGTCCGCCACCGCGCGCAGGCGGAGGCAGAAGGCCCCGGGCGCGCGCGGCTCCAGGCGGTGGCGCCGCACGGCGTCCGCCACGTCGAACACCTCCCAGCGGGCGCCGTCCAGGGGCTCCGCGGCCCGCGAGAGCTGCAGGCGGGGCGCGCGGGCCGCGCCGGGGCACGTGGACAGCAGCAGCAGCGGCGGGGGAGCCGCGCCGCCGGGGCCGGGGCCGGGGGCCAGGGACGCGCGGCGCAGCACGCGCAGCTCGGCGCCCACCACCTCGTCGGCGTCGGGAAGGCTGGACAAGTCGAACTGGAAGCTCAGGCCGGTCTCCGCCGCCGCTGCCGACTCGTCTGCAGGGGACGGGCAGAGACAGAGAGAGCGCGGTGAGCGCGAGGCCGCAGCCCCGGCCGCCCGCCCGCCCGCCCGCCGCGGAGTCGCCGACCTGCGCGCAGCCCCCGCCGCGGGCGCGGAGCGGGGCGACGGGCGCGGGCGCAGCCCCTGGCCCTGCATCGGAGCCGGGGCCCCGGCCGGCCCGCAGCGGAGGCGGCTTCTCCCACCCATCCCGACCAGGCTTTAGTTCAAGGAGCTGAAAGTCTCTCGCCACCGCAGGGCCCCGCGCACCGCTGAGCCGCCAGGACAAGAACGCACCCCCACCCCACCCCAAGACCGAGACCTAAAGACTCTGGGGTTTGGCTGCCGACCCCCAGAGCCCGAGCTTCCCAGAACTAGGTCGAGGCCAGACCACGGCCGGGGGGCGCTGCAGAAGCCGCGCCGTCCGAGGTCGGGAGCCAGGCCCACTGCCCGCCGGTGCGCTCTGCCCGGGAACTGCCCTGGCGGCTCTGCCGAACCCCCAAGGGCGGCGGGGTCCCGGCTGTGCGCAAATGGAACATTCGCGTTGCCTGTAACTGCTCCTGCGGCTGCCACCCTTCCCCAGCCGGCCTGGACATCCCTGCCAGGGGGGTCTCCCACGCAGACTGCGACCCTAAGAGCCGTCCGGAAGGGGAACGGGTCAGCGGGGCTGCCAAGGAGCTCCGCGAATCTGGCCTTGGAGCTGTGCGGGAGGCGAGCTGCGGCCGCCACCCGGCGGGCTCAGCCCCAGGCCTCCCGCGGACCAGCGCTGCCAACGCGAAACCCCAGGCCCCGCAGCAACTCCAGCTCCCGAGACCTCCGATGGGGAGGGGGAGCGAAAGGGGGACACAGCAGTGGAGCACAGGGAATCTTCTGGAAGGTTTGGGAAGGCCAGGGACTGTCTTGCTGCAGCCAGGGCAGCGGCCCCAGGAGATCTTGTCTCCAGGACCCTCTGGTCCCTTCTCAGCCTAATTCTTTCCCTCGTTATGACTTATCTCCAGCTTTGGAGTTTTATTTCTGGTCGTGCGCACTTTTTTTTTCCTTTTTGGTCTTCAGGAAAAAAAAGTTAAATTCCACCAAGGAGCAGATAAGGAGCTTTCTTTGAAGAGGGTCATATGGTTTCGTTTTGCCCCAAACTCTGAGAGACTGAGCAGACTCCCCCCACCATCGGAAGTCAAGCCCTCCGCTTCTGAGGTGGAAGGCTGGGTGCTGCCAGTGATTTCTGGGGACCTCCAGTTGCTCTACACTAAGGCTTAAGGTGGGAGGGAGGCAGGAGAAGTGTCAGCAAATGCTCCCCACTCCCCCATGTGTCCCTCTCCAGGCTTGCCACTGGAACACTTCCTCTGAGCCACCCCGGAGCCTCTCCCAGCTTCAGGGCACTGCTGCTGTATGCCCCCACCCACCCCTGGGAGGAAGGTGAGGTGGCCTTACCTTTGCCAGCCAAGCAGAGCTCCCCAGGAAAGGATTTTTCTCAGGCTGAGGTTGTGGCAAGCCTACATGCACCCATGAGAACAGGCTCCTGGTGCCTCTGCTGGCTTGGGTCCCTGCGCACCCCACCTCCTGCGCACCCCACCTCTCCCATCACCTGGGAACAGCTTTAGAACTGGGCCTGCTCTGGCCTTGCACCCCAGTATTCCAGCGTCCTATGAGCAGGCAGGAGGGCATGCCAAGCCCTCAGAGACTGCTTGAAAGCCCCCACCAGACTAGAGGGCCATTTGGGCCTTGGGTGTCCAGAATAAATCGGCTTTTGGCGTGTGAGCCAGTGGGCAATGCCGGGTCCCTGCAGGGCCTCTACCTGCTGTCCCAGGCCAGGGCCGCACAGCCGCTCCGGCTCCCAGGCAGCCTGGGCCCGCTGCGGCGCCCGCTCAGCCTGCAAACTCCACTTTCCCTCCTGCCTTCTGTGTCATATCTCTGGCTGGATAGAATTAAGGCCCAAATTACTTGCATTTCCGCCTGAAATTAGTTAAATTTTCCCTATCTGTCTGCTCTAATGACTTCAATAGAGATTAATAAACTCCAGATGACACAGCAACCACCGAGACCTCACCCAAGTCCTACCTTTGGAGGGTTCAGGGCAGAGTAAGGTGGGCGCGTGGTCAGAGACAGGCCACATTCCTCCACGGCCGCCCTCGTCACCCTCCCGCGCACGCAGCGAGTGCTCGCCTCTGAGTCTCCCGGGGCCCAGCGCAGGGCCCGGCACCCAGGGCTGCACCCTCCGCCGAGCCCAGGCAGCCGGCTGAGAGGGGCCTCCCGTACCTGGAGATCCCACCGGCTTCTCTCGGAACATCGTCCGCCTCTGTCCGAGTCCCGGAGTCCCCCCCATGTGCGCGGCCCCCGAGGGACCGGGAGCTGCAGCGGTGGCTGCACCGAAGTCGCGGCCGCCCCCACCGCGAAGGCCGCGGAGGCCCCCAGGGCCGGAGCCCCGCCCGGCTGCTCCAGGGCTGGGACGAACCTGCCTCCTCGAGGGCAGCGCCCGGCCTCCCCGGGGCCGGCCCGCCCGCTGCCACGGCCTCGCCAGTCGCGGCGAGGTTTCCTTCCAGCACCTGAGGCCGGGCGGGCCGCGCCCACGGAGGGGAGAGCGCCCGGCCCCCCGCGGCCCCGCGCGGGGCGCGCCCGGCCGACGGCGCGGGAGGCGCGCGTACCTGGGGTCGCCTGGTCCGCGAAGCCGGTGATGGTGTCCGCGCGGCCGCGGCGGCCGGAGCCCGCGGGGGAGGCGTCGGCGGCCCCGGCCAGGCCGCGGTACAGCGACACCATGAACTGGTGCGGCACCACCGAGCCGTTCCTGAAGCCCGCGCCCGCGCCGCGCCGCGCCGCGCGGGCCCCGGGCGCCGCGGCCGGGCCGAGGGTCCGCCCGCCGCCGCCCCCCGGCCCCCGCGCGGGCCCGGCCCCCGCCGCCCGCAGCACCGCGGCCGCCTCGAGCCCGTCGCGGGGGCGGCAGGCGCTCAGCAGCCACAGGCACAGCGCGGCGGCCGCGCTCAGGTCCATGGGCTCCGCGGGCCGGGCGGGCGCGCGGCGCGGGCTCCGAGGCTCCGGGAAGTCCCCCGGCGCCTCCTGAACATGGTGTTTAATAACGGGGAAGCGTGCGCGGCCGGCCGCGGCCCCCCGCTCCCCCACCCCGCCCAGCGCCGCGAGCAGCGCCCCCTGCCGAACGCTCGAGCGCCGGCGCCGCGCCCCCCACTTCGGCCGAAAGCGGCGCCCCGCGGAGCCTCCGCCCCCCGCCCCGGAGCCGCGGCCCCCGCTCGCCCGCCAGGGCTCCCCGCGGCGTCTCCCCCAGCCCCCCAACCCCGCCCCGGGCCGCCGACCCTCCTCCACCCTCCCGCGCCCGAGCCCAGCGCGCCCCCCTGAGTCGGGGACTCGGGGGTACGAGGGGACCCACCCCTCCGCCTCCCCGCGGCTCGCGGAGCAGCGCCCGCCCCGCCCGCCCGCCCGCCGGGTGCCCGGACGCCGAGGTGGGGCGGGAGGCTCGGCCCCGCCCGTCGAGCCGCAGCCCCGCGGCCGGCGCGCTACCCGGGCGTGCGGAGCTGCCGGAGGCGCGTGTCTGATCCCCGGTTCTGGGACTCCCCGGCCTGCCCCGAGCCCCCCAAGATCGGAGCTGGGGAAGGGGCGCAGGGCAGGGCCGGAGGCCCGCAGGGCAGGGAGGACAGGGCGGGTCGGGGCCGGCCGTGGACAGCAAAGGCTCGTTCGGGCGCCCGGGACAGAGACGCGCGGGCAGCCGCGGAGCGGCGGGGGCCTCGCGGGAGCGGCGCCCCGAGTCCCTCTGCGCCTCGCAGTGACGCCCTTGCCCGCCTGCCGGGCGCGCCGTGGGAACCGGCGCCGGGTATGTCGGGGCGCAGCCGCAGCCGGGCGGGCCGCGGGGAGCCGGGGCGGGGGCGCCGACGGGTCCTTCTCGCCGAGTCGCTCTGGTCACCTCGCGGGGCGGAGACGGTCGTGGGGGCGCCCGGCCGCGCGGCAGCAGGAGGGCGGGTGCGGGCTCGGCCCTGCGGGCGGGCGGGACGCCCCGGGCGCGGGCACCTCCCGGCCGAGCAGCCTGGCCCGGGCACCCGCGGCTTTGCCTTCGAGACTGAACTTGCCGCGAACGGGACAGCCCGGCGGAGCGGGTGTCGCGGCCTCGTGCGTGGGTGCCGGCGACCGGCCTGGCTCGGATGTCAGGGACCCCAGTCCCGCGAGCCCGACCCTCGGGGGCGCCGCCGCGCTCGGGCGGGGAGAGGCCGGGCGGGCAGAGGCGGGAGCTCCGGCTGCGGCTGGGTCCGGGCGCCCTGGTTTCGCGGCACCGGCTGCTTCGTCCCAAACGAACTCCCGGGCCGTCCCCACCCCAGGGAGGGCGCAGACGCGGCGCGGGCTGGGCTTGGGACCTGCCGCCGCTCGGGGAATGTGGGGGTGAGAGGAGCTGGGCAGGCAGATGGGGTGGGCTGAGGAGCGGGGGGCTAGGGCGGCCAGAGCGGCGAGAACACGAATCCCCCTGCCTTCGAGGCCAGGAGGAGAGCGGCCCGCGCGGTGCCTGCAGGTCTTCCTCTGCGTGCGCTTGGGCCGAGCCTGAGCCCGCAGCGGCCTGACAGGACGAGCCAGGAGACCCTGGTCAGTGTCGCAGCCGCGCCAGGTGCTCGGTCCCTGCTGGTTTTCCGCTTCCTTAGCCCTTGGCAGCCACTTACTAACTTGTTCGCGCACCTTAGGAACCCTGGGCAGGATCACTGGTCCTGGTTCTAGGCGCACTTTAACCCTAAAGGCAAGCCCCTTGCATGGTCTGGGCTTTCTGCATCTGTGTGGAGAGCCCCTCTGCCCTCATTTCCAGCAGACTGCCAGTGCTCTGCCCCAGGCGGTGGACGGCGCTTTGGCTTGGGGGGGTGGGCAGGGGGTGGAGACAGCAAACATGGAGCACACAGCCGTGCAGGGTGCAGGTGGGCGTTCAGGGGGACGGCTGCAGCGTTTCCATCTGCAGTGGACACTTGGGAGCTGAGCCCGGAGGAGGGAGGTCGAGGGACACTTGGGTCATCGCTGGCTCCCTGTCCTTCCCCTGAGCGGCAGTGACCATTTGTTCTCTGAATACCAGCCATCGTGCTAAATGCTTAACACATCTCCTGTCGCTTGGTTCTCACCTCCGCTCTGTCCTGGGAGGCAGGTGTTAGTACTTGTACTTTATACGCAAAGAAAGTTGAGTCACAAAAGATGTCCACACCTTGCCCAGAGTCACCCAGAGCCTGGAATCACCAAATGTCTTTGCCCAACCTTTGGTTGCACACAGTTAGGGGCCAGTGAGGGGCTTGGTCTGCAATCCCTTCCCCAACCCCAGTGGAGAAGCAGCGCTCCTGCCTTCCCTGTCTAGCTCTCTGGAAAATTCTTGGCAGAGAAAGGAACTCTCAGGTCCAGGTGAAGACAAAGGATGACCCAGGAGACTCCTTCCTGCTGCTGCTGCTGGAGCTCAAGCACTTGTCATTGGCAATCAAACATCCCAGCGGGGGGCCTACCCAAGGCTCCAGAAGCCACTGAGCTGAACAGGCCAGCCCCACCGGAGCAGGTGGCCCAGCTGCTTGGTGACATGATGTGACCTGGTGGCCTGGCCAGTCAAAGCCCGCAGCCAGGTCCCTGGGGCCCATGAATGACATAGGGCCACATGGAGATGCCCTTCCTGAATCAAGAACCAAGAGACCAAAAGGAGTTCTCAGGCCTGGGCAGTGACTTCCTGAAGCCGAGGCCCCTGGGTGAGCAGATGACATGAGGACACCCAGGGGCCAGGCCAGCCCTTGCAGGATGCTTCCTCTGGGGGGCTGCCTGAAGCTTGGGGCAGGTGGACCAGGCAGGAGGGAGCCAGTGGACCACCTGGTTGCCCCCGGCTCACCACCAGGAAGCTGTTGATAGGCTGCAGGAAGCTGCAGCGGCTCAGAGAAACTGGGGGAATTGGGGTTGGAAAATCGAGCTTTCCTTCTTCATCAGTTTATCACCATCCCGCACTTCCAGAACTCCAAACCCCCACCATCACCATCTCAGGAAGAAGTGAGGTGGGCTCCAAAGGGGGAGTGTTCAGGGGGAGGATAAATGCAGCCTGGTTGAGTGGGGTGGTGTTTCTTGACCCGGATGAGGAGAGGTGGGTCCCCTCTTCCACCCCAAGATCCTTCCCTTGGAGAGCTCTTTGCTGACCACTCCCCCCACCTTGTGGGAGCTCTTGACTTCCTCTGAGTGCCTGGTCTCTGATTCAGGTCGCAGAATCTGAATGAAGCCAACTTGCTGGTGTTCCACGCCTTACTCGTGACAGATTGCTACCCAGCCTGTGCTTGCTTCCCTGCAGGGATGGGGCGCTCCCCATCCCTGGGCAGTCCTGAATGTGGGGACGGTTCCCCATGTGGCAGCTGCCCTGGGGAGCCAACACATCATCTGGAACTGAGCCTGGACACTGGGTTGATGCCACTTAGGAAGTGAAGCTTGGACTCTACCTGTTAGAGCTCCCTGGAGCTTGGGCAGGCCCCGGCTGCACAGTCCAGCCACACTCAGACCCCAGGGCATGAGCAACAGGAGCCCCTGCGCAATGGCCTGCTCTCCAGCTTGCAGGGTCCCCAGGAGGGGCCAAGTGCCCAGGAAGGGGACGTGGTCATCACCTGGCTAGCTGGCATCAGAACACCTGGGCTGGGGACCCCTCTGTGATCTGACATGCAGCTTTCTTCCTTCTAACTCAGGGCACCCTGAGGTGAGGAATGATGGACAGTCTCTGCCCTGTGCACCACTGGGAGTTCTGGGTCCCTGCAGCCAAGTGATATTTGGGAATAAAATAGATGCCCCCCGCTGTGCTTGGTTGGTGCTCCTGAGAAAGAAGAGACTAGAATTCAAATCTAGCCTTGAACCCTGGGCAGCAATCCTCCGGACCCTTCCTGTCTTTAGATTCCTAAATGCAATTGAGGGTGACACCGGCAAAGGTTCACACTCAAGATGTGAGAGAAGGCTACTCAGGGACCTAGCCAGGAGCCTGTCCTTGGTTGGACCCACCATGGCCCCTGGCCTTTGCCTCAGAGCTGAAGAGAGGGTTGGAAGAAGGCAGGACCCCAGGTTGGCCTGGGGTTCACCCCTGAGGATGGCCTTCCTGGCAAGGTATTAACAACACTGGTAGGAGGCCGGAGCTGCCTGCTGTCACTGCATCTGGTGATGCTGGTCTGCACACAGCTGGGTGTGTGCTAGGAGCATCTCCCCCAGAAAGACCTGGGATGGGGCTGCTGGGCCACTGCTGTGGGGAGATGACTGCAGGGATGTGCTCAGCCCTGGGTCTGATGCCCCAGGCTGGGCTACTTTGGGTTCTCAGGAATTTCCCATGCTCAACCCAGGGCTGCCTCTCCCCAGTAACTAGGGCAACAGCTCTGGCATCCACACTGGGAATGGCTGCAGCCCTGGCCACTGGCTAGACCTGCCCTGGGGCTGGGGCTGGGGCTGCTGAGTGGGGGAGGGAGGTAAAGAAGAAGGGAGCTGGGTGGCTTCCTTCCCAGAAGTTCCCCGGGGGACTAGCTCTCAGGCCTGGCGGGCGGGACAAATAGCAGGACTCTGGTGGACACTGCCATCTGCTGGCCACTGGTTCTAACAGCACCGCCACCGGGGCTGAATTTTCAGTCAGTGGGAGAAGACTGGCAGGTCCGCAGGTGAACAAGCTTACCTGGGAGCTAACTGTAAGGTGTCCTGAGAGGAGGCAACAAGGGTCACCTGTCGCCACCGAGGTCAGTGCGGGGTCATGGCAAGCCTGACCAAACCACCTTTGCTGGGCACCAGCTTTGGGACCATTATAAAGTTCATCAACCTGTCATCTCCCGTGTCCTGGTCTTTAGATGGGGACAGGGACTCCTGCCTGTCAGGGTGAGCCCCAGGGCACAGGAAACAGAGTAGGCGAAGTCCTTCCCACAGCGCCTGGCTCGGCAGAGGCCACTTCTGCTATTTTCGGGGTAAGTCCTGGTGTAGGTGGAAGTCGAGCTGGTCCTCTGTGGCCACCGTCTCTGAGCCCCCCCCCCCCCCCGGTG